TGCCAAATGATGGTCTCTTCAAGAGTTGGATAATGAACACTCCCATTGCAAGGATATCCCTTTCCCTTATGGACAAATGGGTCTTTTATGTAGTGTCCTCCAAAGCGTGGGGTGTAACGCTTTACTTCAATGCTACTAGTCCAAAAGCTGTTCTTCTGTCCTGAGGAACCATCTTGTGCATCTTAAACTTCAGCATCTTCTCATGTTTCTTGAGCTGCCATCTTTTCAACTCATCTAAACTCCACTGTAGCTGGAAATAACCAAGATAAATCCTTGCTCATTAAGTGGTTACTTTCAACATTAATCCAAAGAAATCTGCTTGGATTGGCCCAGCTGACAAAGATAATTTTCCTAAGCTTTGGGTGAATTTTTGGTGATGTTGATTAATCAAGAGATTGATTGCAGAGAAAGATTAGAAATAGATTTTAAAGTAGCTGGCAGAAACCTAACCATCTGGTCTTAAATAAGGCCCATTCCAGATACTGAGTATGTTTTGCTTTCCTATTTTATACTATTCTGTATTTTAATTGCTAATCTTATTATGAACAGAAGCCCTAATTGCAGCTTCAATCAACTCTAATCCTCCTTGATTTCAACTCCATTTCTATGATAAAACTAATTGACTGAATTGCAAATTAGATATAACTTTTATTTCAATTAACTAGATTTTATGTAATATAGCTACATAAAAGTTCATGTATCTGTTCCTAAATAAAATTTCAACAAGAAACGGAGTAAATACCATTTTAAATATGTAACTTAAAATTATGTTTGTTTCTACATGTCTGCTTGTCTGTCATATCTGGAACCTCAGGGCAAAGACGTGAACTGCTGGATCGCTCAGTGGTTTAGGTATTTGGCTGAGGAACCAGAGGTTGAGAGTTTGATTCCCCACTGTGCCTCCTTGACAGGGCCTGGGCTCAATGATTTGTAGGGTTCCTTTCAGCTCTGCAGTTCTAAGATGATGATGATGATGAGTACTGTGTGATGGTTCAGCAATCACCTAAAGCACCAGTGCTCATGTTGTTGAGATCCACCCTTTTGAATAAGCATCAAAATAATGATAGAACATAAGAATAGTATTCAAACATGATTTGAACCTCTTATGAAGAAAAAGAAGACCGCTGGTTTTTTTTAAATTGAAAAATTGTCACTCCTGGCAGCATCAAGAAATAGTGATTCTTTTAAACAAGGTTTAGCTTCTGAGAAACCTTGTTTACCCTCTACTTTTTAAGGTTAAAAAAGAGTTCCTCTCCCCATCATAATAGACTTATGGCCACCTCTGGTTTAGTTTTCTTCATTGTGATTTTTTAAATGGGGTGGGAATACATTTTAAGCAATCTGCAGCTCCTGACAGGCCCCAGGGGTGGGGAATTGGCCATTGGAGTTTACATACTCTTGGTGTAGAAGGAAGCATTGTGTACCACCACCAATCATTCTCTTACCAAGAGTGCACCAGGGCTTCCATTTTGTTAAAGATGACTTTCTTACAGAAGTATAGTCTCCTAGTCCCATGAGGTACTAGTCTCCCTCTACTCAACACTGGTTAATCCTCACCTAGACTACTGTGTTCAGTTCTGGACACTGCAGTTTAAGAGGGATGCCAACAAACTGGAACAAGTTCAGAGGAGGGCATCAAGGATGATCAGGGGACTGGAAACCAAGTCCAATGAGGAAAGACTGAGAGAATTTGACATGTTTTGCCTTGAGAAAAGAAGCTTAAGGGGAGCTATGATAGCACTTTTCAGATACTTGAAAGCTAGTCATACAGAGGACAGGCAGCATCTGTTTTTGATCATCTCAGAGTGCAGGACAAGTAATGATGAGCTCAAGTTACAGGAAGCTAGATTTTGGCTGAGTATCAGGAAAAACTTCACAGTGGTAGAACCTTATGAAGTAGTGTTTTAATCCATGAAAGCTTGTGTACTGTATGATTTCTTTAGTGCTCTATAAAGGTTTCACCTATTTTTGTATTTGTATTTTGTTTTAACCACATGGCTGCCCTTTACTTCAAGGAAAAACTTCCTGTCTGCAATCCTGTCAGCAGCCATGCCAGCTAAAGGGTACTGAAGTGGCAGTCCGACAGTATTTCTGCTGCTATTACTGAATGCCATCGAGTATAGCCTCTATGGCACTCATCCACGTATATGAGTGCTCAGCAGTGAAAATTAATTGTTTTTCTTTCCTGGTGAACTGCCACTGTCTTTGCTAATGTCTTTGTCTTCCCATAAAACTCATTGTTGCGTCATATTAATCTCAACTACAGACTGGGAAAATGGGCATAATAATTAGCTAAGTTAAGAAACAATCATGAAAACTATGTGAGTAAATGTTTATTTACTTGGTTTAGGATTAGGATATAAAATGCTTATGGTTTGGCCTCAGATATAGTAATATGTAGAGTAGATTCCCAGCTTCAGTTAATATTAATTGGGTTCATTACAATATACTTTAGTGTATCTACTCAAAGCATGACTGTGGTTACATCTTTGTTCTTTTAAAAGAACAGCCTTCAGTTAATGGTTCTAGTCAGTTTGTCACTCATCCCCAAAGAAAGATGGGATTCTTGGCTTGCACCTGGATCCTCTTCCAATTATTGTACATTTGTTTCCTTCTTCAAGTTTGACAGACAGGTAGATGATGACAGTCAGGATGTGGTCTTGTTGATAAAAATAGCACAGATAGGCAGAACATACAGATTGGGCACCAGCAGTCCCACTGCAAAACAGACAGCTCTAATTTTATCTCACTTGACAAAGGACGGCAGAAATGAAAATATTTTGCTGTCTTATTTATTTGAGAATGAGGACATTTTTCAGTGCTGGTATTGCTTAGCAAATCCATATTTTAGTATTTTCCTTATAGCCCTGCTACACATTTGATAATAACAGGCATGCTGTTGTCATAAGAATTCTAAACAAAGAATGGACTTAAACGAATTGCCTTTAAGAGCATCAGAAGAGCTTGCTCAATCATATCAAAGGCCTGCCTGGTTCAGCATTCTGTTCCTGCAGCGCCGTGCAGATTCGCCAGTGGGAAGTCTTCAAGCAGGACATGAGTGTAATAGCACCCTCCTACTCATGTTCCCCACCAACTGATACTCATTTCGTTTGTTCTTGCTAGGCAGCGATTTATCTGTTTTGGTTAGGCCTCTAAAAATACTTTATACACAGGCACACTGTACACTCACACACAGTAAGTGGATTTCAGACCGGCCTGAAAAAGTGTTGGCCATGATGGTTTCATAATCAGGTGATTTTGAATGTTCAAAAAAAAATATGCCAATCTGGTGACGGATAGTTGCCTGCTTAAAGTCAAAAACAAATTGGACCAATTTTACAACCATGTGATCCCAATTCTCCATCTCCCCCCCCCCCATGTATATTAATGAATTCTTGTCTACAGCAACTCATTTTCCACAAATTCATCATGCTGGATTCTTGGGGGCCTCCTGGTCTAAGCTTTGATAGCAGGAGTCAGAGTGTGTTAGTCTTATCTGGAACCTTTGGTTTTTAGATTACTACAAGAATCTCATTTACAACATTGTAATCTTTGGTTTAGAGACTGGGATTAATTATGAGAATGATTTTTATGAAGACATGTTTTATTGATAGAAAATATTTAACGTATTTTTAAAATTAGTAATCAATGAGTAATGTTATCTACCGTATAGAGAGAGAAAAAGAAATAAATGTGCAAGTTAGCCTCTCTATCCACACTTTCCATTTTAACCCACCCATTTGAGAGTGTAGACCTCATGCTGATGGCCAACCTGCCAAATTACCCTTGACACCACAGAGGACACTTGCCCTGTTCATTCTACATAGTAAGCATGCTAACTCACTCACTGTTAACCGTTTGGCAAGTTCCTGCTGAGATTATATTAAGTAAGATTTTGTTGATAATAAGGGTGTCATGGTACAAAAAAAAATCATCTGTGGGCTTGATTTTATTCCAGGTCTTTCATTTATGTGTTTGTATTTATGTTGCGGGAATCAATCCTCAGTCTGTGTTGCTTGCTTAGTAAGCCTTCTTGATCTGCATTTAACCTTGGCATCAGAATCAAACCACTCGAGTCAGAAATGTATTGAGTAAAGTTATGTTTGTATTTATGTTGCGGGAATCAATCCTCAGTCTGTGTTGCTTGCTTAGTAAGCCTTGTTGATCTGCATTTAACCTTGGCATCAGAATCAAACCACTTGAGTCAGAAATGTATCGAGTACAGTAAAGCGTTTAATTAGCTCCTCTAGGTTACTATCCAACACAGGAAGCCTTGCAGGACAACTTTTATCAGCTCTGCATCTTACTCAAGGGGAGTTAAATATTGAATAATCTGTGATTTCCTTTATGTAATTGCTATTTTACTCATTTACAGCTTTTAGTTGTGAATTAGCATTTTGATCGATCATATGAAAAACTTATTTGAGATAAGTGAGATAGTAGCCCACCCAACAACTTTTGCTTCTGCCAATTGCTGAGCCATTTTTATTTTCATATACTGTTTATAAAGAGCATTCTATTCTGTTCTATTCCATACCACCTTTCCTCCACACACTGAATTTCACGGGTCAGTGGGGAATTGAACCTGGCTCTCCCAAATCCAAATCCAAAACTGTAACACTGCACTACATATTTCTCCCTCCACATTTAAAATGTTTTCTGCCGTTGCAAGTGGCAAATGATGGCCTAGAGAAGCTCTCCTAAATTGCCATCTGGGATGACAACACAAAAAGGATTTAAATAAATCAGAGATAGGGGAATAACTTATTTTAATAAAGTGAAACAAGAAAAGGCCTAGAGAGAGTAAACTTTTCTCACTCCAGATACAAAAGTATTTTCCAAATTAAATTTTCAGATCTTTAGTTCTCCTTTTTTCACAATCATCATTTTAATTTCTTACCTGTACATTAAACTATCTTATCTGACCTGACTTATTTCCTAGCATGGCATTTATAGGCTTAAGTGTACACAGTACAATAATTATTGCTTTATTTCTACAGTGAGCTTGGGATGAACAAACAACCTTTTGAAGGACGCACACAAGCCATGGAAATATCACCAAAGAAAAAGAAGATGAAACTTAGCCAAGAGGATTCATTTGCACCGTTGGATACGGGTCTTTCCCTTGCAGAAGACGAAGCCCTAGTATTGCATCTGCTCAACAGCCGAAGCTAATGATACCTTTTCCTCCTGCTCTTATTCCAAAATTCTTTTGTCTTTTTGCCACGAAAGCAACAGTAAACATTATTGTATTATTTGAGACCAGTCTTTTCAGTGGATGGCTTATGACCAGTTTTGTCGTTTGGCTAGTTGTAAAAGTTGCATGGATTGCTCAACTTCCTTCTGATAATCTTTTTGAACCTGTGCCATGGCCATTGATAAAACTTTAAAGATTGGGGGAAGTTTTCAAACATGTAATATTGATTTGTATACTAAAATCTTGGTGTACAACAGAAAGAAAAATCACAACAGTGTAGCTTTGCTGTATGGTGAAGTGACCAAAATGAGTAATGTGAATAAGTAATTTTTCATGCATGCATGAATAGTTTTTTTTCCAGTAGGAAGTACTCTGAAAAATACACTTCATTTGCAGAACTAAACGAGATAATCATTTTACTGTGATGACTTTCTTGAAAGCTGTTACATGAAATTCTGAAATTTTAGAATAAATTATGAAAGCTGTTCCTTCCAGCCAAGTGACAGATTGTTAATCTCTTGTATGCATAAGCCAAAAACATCTGGGTTGCTTCCAGATGCCGCTTTTATTGCAATCACTCAACTTCATTCAGAGAATTTAGGAAGATCTAGAAGATATTGTAATCGGTTTGTTAACCAGCTTATGTTTTCCTGCTGGTAGTGGTGGGAAATGTGGCAAAGAAGGACAATGTGAACAAGCTGCTCAGTGTTTTAGCAGGTGTGGAAACAGAAACAGGGAGTGTGCAATTAAAGCAGAGATGGAGGAACTCTTCCCAGCAAGAGTGATTGCAAGTTCAGGAAGCACATCCTTTCTTGCTTTGCATTTTTGTTTACAGGGTGATTTGTTTGTCCTGTGATACAAGTCTGTTTCACTTTCTGAAGGCTTCATCATTTTTTAATTTCAGAACATCACTATGCAGAATGAGAGACATTCTGAAACTGTAGACACCTGCTTATTTTTATTTAAATAGGAAATTAGTTGGAATAGTCCTTAGTTTGATACTTCTGTATCAAAATCAGGCAGAGTTCTTCATTTATACCTAAATTAATTCAGAAACCCACAACCTTATTTTCTGCAGTCATACAATTAATAATTTAGACAAACAGTAACTTGTTTACATAATACTTAAACATATTAAAGGCCTAGGGTGGCCTTTTAGGCCATATGGGCGGGGTATAAATGAAATAAATAAATAAATCTGGGTAGAGTGGGCGGCATATAAATAAAATAAATAAATAAATAAATAAATACATTATTCATTAATATAAATAGACATACAACCATTAATTAGCAGTTAAGGAAAAGAAAAGGTTGAATTCATGAACTCTAGAACAACAAATCAGATAAATTTCTCAAGGTTGTTAAAGTTCTGAAAATCAGTGTGACACAGCCAAGAACATAGTATTCCACAATACTATAATTCACTGGTAATACTGCAGTGCACTAAAAGAGGGTTTTTTTAAAAAAGTGTCTAACTTGCTTGCTTCCTACTTTCTCTCTTTATATAGTTTTCATCAAATACCAATTTTTAAATTCATGATTCCAAAGTGCCATGCTCACCTACTTCCAGTGAGAAAGAACCATTTATAGAGTCACAGAACTTTCATGCAGAAGCCTTCAAGCAAAGTTTCACAGTTGTTGAGTTCAACATTGTGCCTGGCTGGTTTGAACAAAGCCAAAGCTGCCAGAATTCCCAGGCACTCTTAGACTGCTGCTGCTCTCTGGGGAAGAAACATGGCCACCAGTGATGAGGGATGCCCAACATGTGGGGAAAAGTGGCAGCTGCATATCTGTCTGTGCATTCCCAACTTCGTTCTTTGTCAGCTGCAAGACTATACACTGGTTAAGATACTCTTCCACCTAGTGACTGAAGATGTAACTGCAGCCTTCAAATGCAGGGACACATTTAAATTATTTTAAATTAAATAACGTGTTTCTAAAATCACTAACCCCCTCCCCATGTATGCTCTCCCTGGGTCCTCTTAATATGCAGTTCTCATTTCATATGTTTAGGCTGCATTGTTTAAAAAGAAGGTATGGCTCTAGGAGACATAAAAACATTTATTATCAAAGAAAGCACAGAAATAAAATTAACACACAGTGTGACACTTTTATCAGTTCTCCTTTTTAAGAAACTCTGGTATGCCCCGATAGCAAGAATAAGTAGTAAATAATTACACGCCATCAAGCTAATTCTGACTTATTGTGACTTACCAGAATTTTCTAGGTACAGGGTATTTTTTTTACAAAATGTTTACTGTTTCTTTTTTCTGGGGGGCACCTGAGGCTGTGCAGCTTGCCCAAAGCCACACAGGCTGGTTCTTCTTCAAGTAGGTACAGTGGAAGAATTGAGCTTTTGAACTCTGGCTCTGTAGTCAGGTACCAACTCACTGAGCCAGATCAGTGCATTATTTAGGTTCTTACATTCATTTTTCAGGGAAATACAGCAAGAAATAAAATTTTGTGTCATGCGTAATATTACACTGCAGGAAGAAACTCTATAGAAACAACCAAAATATATAGCATTGCATTACATAAATTGATTCTGATACTCAAAGAAAAGACACATGACTTTGGTTAGTTGCAAAGAATAGCAGAGCACACAGAGACATACAAAAAACCCCAACAACTTTCATTTGCATATTGAGTGTAATTTTAAGGTGTAATTCAGATCTCTGCAAATGAGTACATTATATTTAATGTCAAAGAAGCTATCTGTCTGAAGTTTCATCTCAGTCTCATATTAGAATCTCTATGATTATTATATGCAACAGCAATCAAAAACAAAGAATAGCAGAGCACACAGAGACATACAAAAAACCCCAACAACTTTCATTTGCATATTGAGTGTAATTTTAAGGTGTAATTCAGATCTCTGCAAATGAGTACATTATATTTAATGTCAAAGAAGCTATCTGTCTGAAGTTTCATCTCAGTCTCATATTAGAATCTCTATAATTATTATATGCAACAGCAATCAAAAATTTATTTATTTTATTTATATCCTGCCTATCTGGTCAGTTAAGACCACTCTAGGCGGCTAACAACATAAAAATAAAACAATATATATATATATAAAACAAGTTACATAAAATAGACATTACAAAAAACTGAGAGCAAACAATGGGGAATAGAGAAAGAGGACATCAGAGATTGACTGGAGGGAAGGCTGGCCAAAACATCCATGTTTTTAGTTGATTTTTAAAGATACAAAAATTGTTCATGTTTTAATGTTATTGCATTGCAGTTCAGAAATAGCAGTGCTGTTCCTAATTCAATGGTGAGGATAACTTCCTCCCAGCCAGAAATGTTTGTATCGTTCAGCTAAAATTGTTTTTTCCCCTATTCTTTTCTTTTTGAGTACTTCTAAACAGCACCTGAGCCATTTGTCTACCTTGTCTGACCGGCAGATGATGAAAAGGATTCTAATGGCAAAATCAATGGGAAGAGTTCATGACCTTTCTGTTGTAAGTTTGACAAATCAACTGTTATGCCTTAGGATCAAGACCAAGCAATGTGAAAAGGCTCAAGGACAACCTTGCCAAAGATCGATGAATAAGGTTATTACATTTCTAAACAGATAAAGTAAAACAAACCATGAATAAGAAAATAAATAAATACACAATGTAAACAAAAAGTTTCCTACTCACCATCGATTAGTTGTGTGCCAGCTCACTGAGTTTGCTCCCAAAGACACAGCACAAAACTACAGCAGTCCCGATCAATGATGCTCACTTCAGTCTTTCAGTCAGAGGCCGTCCCTACTATTAGACAGATTGAGGGGTTCACTTCCAGTAGTAAATTATAGGTATCACGAAAAGGCAGCAGATGATTATTTACATTATTATTGGGGTTTTGCTGCCAGAGATGGAGTGAGGTGTTTATGGCCTCTTTCGGTTCATGTGTGAGACTAATTTGGCCGGCTTTCTTCCATGAAGGTGGCAAGAGCAGTATTCATTGCTCTGCGTCGCGCCGCAACATTTATTTATTTTATTTGTCCTATTTATAGGTTGTCTTTCTTCTGATACGGGGACTCAAGGCGGCTTATGGTATTAAAAATAGAATTAAAAACACAATACATTAAAAACCAATTCAACTAAAAAACTGATCAATACGCCTTTGAATTATTAAAACATATAAAACGTTAAAAACTATCCAAACTAAATATGACATCCAGGGACTCAGTCATGGTTGTGAAAAGCCTGCTTGAAAAGATGGGTCTTCAGCTGTTGGCAGAAGGATAAGAGAGAGTGGAGCAGCCCGGTTCTTAGTCCTTCTCTGAAGTAGGTTCCTGTTGATGGTGCTTCTTGTCCCTCCCTCCTTGTTCCTTCTGTTTGCTTTCACTCATTCATTTCTCTCGCAGTGAGATCTGGCAGGTCCTGCCAGGGCAGTCCTAAAACCAGTGGCTCCTAGAAAAGCTAAAGCACATGTGACAGTTTGTCTCTGACATAGAGGCAAGCTGCAAATTCCACCGTCCTCGGCATAGACTGGCAAGCAGTGAGAACTGCAATCTCAACAATCCTTGGTGAATGCTGTTCCAGTAAGTGTTGCCTAAGTGCAGTCTGAATAGGACTGAAAAGCTCTTAGTCATGTAGTTCAGTCTGTTTGTGCTCTTCTGCACATGAATGCCGACAGTCCCAAATATAAGACCTGTAAACCACTGCTTCAATAGCTTTGCCATGTTTTCGCAAAATGAGAAACTGCCAGACCCATCTTATTCTTTAACAAGCAACTATACAGTATATTCATTCATGTTTTCGCAAAATGAGAAACTGCCAGACTCATCTTATTCTTTAACAAGCTACTATATATTCATTCTCTCTGTGTGTGTCCTTTTTCTGATTAACAGATTAACATGGCTACTTCTTTGAAGGTGTTGCAAAACCATCATAAGCCTGCTTGGTCCTTATCCTGCCTAAACTCACTAAAGCTCTTACAATACAGCACAGCAATCCCTTGTCAGTGACAGACTATATTAAAGGGAGCTTCTGGATTGTGAAATCCAGGCAGTGACCGAGCAAGCATCTTTAGATGGC